AGTTTAAGATAAATTCCTAGAAGTGATAATCCAAGTTGGGTCTGATTGGTGATAAATTCAAATTGTGAGATGTTTCAGGATCAATATTCTTCTCAGGCTACTGGTAGGAATGTGAGTTAGAACTCAAAGGTGCTATTGGTTACTGTTATTTCTGCCAGTTTTCCTTCTCTTTAATTGTATATTTTCTAAATTTTATCAGTGTATTTTTGGTAGTTTTGCTTGGTTATATATCTTACATATTTCCTGAAAAAAAGTAAATTGATCAAATTTTGTCTTTTAATGAGAAGGGATACCATACAAATACCTATTAATATTTCTGAATATTGGCTGGGTGCCGTGGCTCACACTTATAATTCCAGTGCTTTGGGAGGCTGAGGCAGGAGGATTGCTTGAGGCCAGGAATTTGAGACCAGCCTGGACAGCACAGGGAGACTCTACCTCTACAAAGAAACAAAAAGGAGTGGTGACGTACATCTGTAGTCCAGCTGCCTTGGAGGCTGAGGTGCGAGGGTTGCTGGAACCCGGGAGTTCACGGTTGCAGTGAACCAGTGATAATGTCATCCGCTCCCTCGTGGGCGACAGAGTGAGAATTTGTGTTTTAAACCTGAAAGTTAAATTTGCAGTTGAGATGTTTTCCTAATTAATAAGAAATTATGCTGTACTAGTTTCTCATAGTCACTGAATGTAGAATCACAGTTATATACTGAGCCAGTATCTGTTGCTACTGTGTGAGAAAGTTGTTTCTTTTTTGAAGAATCTAACTGCTTTCACAGACTTTGGAGTGATGTGGATATATTTCCACATTCCCTGCCATCCTTCCCTAACACGAAATGTCTTTTGTAAGTATTACATAACAAAAGAGCCTGCAATTTGTAATAACTCGAGTTCAAACCAAACATTATAGCCCCCAAACGTATTCCACAACCTGTCAATTTTTATGTGCAGAAAAATCCCTAAATACCAACTGCAAAGTAATTTCTCTGGTATTTGTAAGATGTGAGCTGTGTAGTTCTTTGTAGTAAACTCTACTCTCTGAAGCCTTTTCAGCCAGGCATGGTGACTCACTTCTGCAATCCCAGCACTTTGGGAGGCAGAGGCGAGAGGATTGCCTGAGCCCAGGGTTTTGAGACTAGCCTGGGCAACTTGGTGAGACCTCATCTCTACAATAAATAAAAAAATTAGCCGGGTATGGTGGCACACACCTGTGGTTCCAGCTACTTGGAAGGCTGAGGCGGAAGGATTGCCTGAGCCCAGCAGTTCATGGCTGTTGTACCTGGGAGTGTGCCACTGTACTCCAGCCTGTGTGACAAGAGTGAAACTCCAACTCAAAACAAAAACAAACAAACAAGCAAAGCCTTTTTCCTTTGGTCTTTTATATCTGTTTATATATATGTATAGACAGAAAATGTTTTCCTTTTTTTTTTTTTTTTTTTGGGGTCAGAGTCTCGCTCCGTCACCCAGGCTGGAGTGCGGTGGCATGCTCACGGCCACCACAGCCCCGACCTGCTGTGCTCCGGCTATCCTTCTGCTTCAGCCTTGTCAAGTAACTGAACTGCAGGCGCGCAGTACCTCACCCAGCTAGTTTTTAAAAAATTTATTGTAGTGATAAGGTCTTGCCACATTGCCCAGGCAAGCTGGTCTCGAACCCCTGAGCTCAGGCAGTTCTCTCATCTTGGCCTCCTAAAGTGCTGGGATTATAATGCTTGAGCCACCGTGCCCACCCAGAAAATGTTTTCTTTTAATTGATACTTTACATGACTTTGAAGGAGAAACTTAATAATAAGACACACACACACAAACACAGAATAAGTATACCATCACCCTTGGATTTTATATTATTCTCTTTGAACATTAAATTTAATTCTGAACTTCTAGGTAGCCAGTGAAAATGGAAATATAATTTGTCATCATCATATGATGAGAAGAGGCAAACCATTTCATTTTTCTGAGTTCCAAGTCAGAAAAAGGAAAAAACAAGTCAATGTTTTCCCAAATTGTAAATATGGAACAATAATTCTGCCAAATATTAACAGTGGGATTACATTTGGAAATAGGGGGCTAACAGGTTAGATAAACAGACTTATCTGTGTATTTTCTTGTGACTTTAAGTATCCTAACATATATCTTGAGTTTGTAAAAGAGAAAGGCAGTGTTTTTCTAACTTTCTTTGCCTTGAAATGCTTGTGAAATCAAGGATTTGCAAAAGTACTGGCCTGAGTCCATAAACAATATGGTGGGTGTGTGTCTTCCATACCATTTTTGCTGGTGATGTCATAATTGCTGTTTGTTTAACCTTTTCTTATGTGGATTTAAATTCCTTTTGAAACACAATCCAGGGCAAGGTTTACTTCTTTCAAGAAGCCTACATTCTTTTAAAAAAATTTTATTTTTCTGGGCTCGGTGTCTCAGCCTGTAATCCCACGCTTTGGGAGGCTGAGGTGAGTGGACTGCCTGAGCCCGCGGGTTCAGGACCCACCTGGGCAACTTGGCGAGACCTCACATCTACAATGAATCAAAAAATCAGCCGGACGTGGTAGCGCCTGCCTGTAATTCCGGCTACTCGGAAGGCTGAGGCGGAAGGATCACCGGATCCCCAGCAGGCGAGGCTGCGGTGGCCGGGAGCGGCCACTGCACTCCAGTCTGGGCGACAGAGCGAGACTCCAACTCACAAAAAATAAAAATAAAAATAAGAAAACAAAACAAAACATTTTATTTTATTTTTTCTTTGAGTTGGAGGTCTCACTTTATATCGCTCAGGCTAGAGTGCACTGGCACCATCACAGCTTACGGCAGCCTGGACCTCTAGGCTCAGGTGATTCTTCTACCTCAGCCTCCCGAGTAGCTGGGACTACAGGTGCACACCACCACACCCAGCTACTTTTTGTATTTTTTGAGGAGACGAGGTCTTGCTATGTTTCCCAGGCTGGTCACAAACTTAAGGGCTCAAGCAATCCTTCCACTTCGGCCTCCCAAAGTGTTGGGATTATAGGCCTGAACCACCTCTCCTGACAGAAATTTAGATTCTTTTTATCCTCCAGAAATTGCTGCTTTTGAAAAACATGTGCTACAGGGCCTTGGGAACTAAGTATTCCTGTTGCCTGTGAGCCGGCTGGCTTGGTATTTGGAGGAGTCTCTCAGATGTTTAGTCAGGCCAGAGAGAGCGCGGTTTTGTTTTTCCTGCTGAAACCCGAGTCTCCACACGTTCCATCTACCAGGGCTTCAGCTATTCCAATATGTGGCAAGGGCCTGAGCTCTCAATCTCCTCCCCAGGAATCTGCTGGAACTAGTTGTTTTGGAAACAGCAAAGCACAGCAGGCTCCCCAAACTAGTTCTGAAGTGTGAACCTCTGTGGTCTTCCTTGCTGCACGCGTCTTTTTACCTTCGTCAGCTCTCTTATTTCTCCTCCCCTATCCAAACGTGCACTTTGCTCATTAGAACACTGGCTTATTGGAGACCCATTAGCCTGTATTATATCAGGTCCCACATACTCTATTAGTATGCATCCCTTTAGTTAGTCTCTCCTGCCCCCCTATTCAGCTCCATCTTCCCATCGTCACTGCCTTCTTCTGACATGCCTTATGTACTTTGTGGGTAGGAGGTTGAATGGCCGGCTAGGGTTCTGTTTAGTTTTCATTGATACTTCGAGGCCATGGTTCCGTTCTTTCGCTGAACACCACTAGGGAAAAACAGCCTAACAAAATGATTCTGTTTCTTTGAGGCTCATGCCTTTTTAACAAAAATTATATAGATGTGGGGTACAATCTTTCTTTTTGCTGTCAACTTTCTCTCATTCTTTGAAGACTTTGGTACCTGGATATGATCTTTATTTTCATTCTGAATCTTGCCATTGTCCATCTGGTAGCATAGTCTCAGTCTGGAATTTCCTCAACTTGAATTCATCGGGGCCTTGTTTTTATGCATGGGGTGAAAGAGAGCTTCATTCTTGATGATCTGCCGATGGGAGAACAGTGATGCTTACTTGACCTTCTGAAGAATGACAGATGATTAACTGTACAGATTCCCCCATATATTGAATGAGTTTAAGAAGGGCTAATAGAAATAAATAAGTAAAAATTAAGTAAAAAAAAAAAATGCCTTGTGGCTTGTGTTTAAAAATACTTTAACTTTATAGTCATGAATTAGAAGAAAAATTATACCTGAAATTGTGATATCTGGTTATATTATCATGTTGATTCAAAGAGAGGGATTAGCTGTTTTGTTAACTGTTGTGTTAGAGCATTGGATAGTTTAAGGTCTGGCAAATGACAGATCACTGTTTTCACTTTTCCCCCCTACTTCGAAGTGGAGACACTAATACCTAATCTATATAGTTGTTGGGCCCATACCATGTATTTCTCTATGTGTGTATGTGTTTTGTAGACTTTGCAAGATTTTGATGTTGGAGATTTTCTAAAAATTAGGGCCAGGTGAAGTCACTCATGCTTGTAATCCCGGTGCTTTGAGCCAAGGCAGGAGGATTTCTTGAGGATAGGAGTTTGAGACCAGGGTGGACAACATAGTGAAATCCTGTCTTTGCAAAACATTTTAAAAACATTAGCTGGGCATGATGGAACTCACCGGTACTTCTAGTTACTCAGGAGGCTGAGACAGGAGATCTCTTGAACTTAGGAATTTGAAGCTGCAGTGAGACAGGATATCACCACTCTGTTCCAACTTGAGTGACAGTGTGAGATCTGTCTCAAAAAACAAAAAAAGGCTACCTAATAAAAAATAGGATGCCATTCACTCTTTAGAGGGATTCATAAGGTTGATCCTGGCCATCATATTGTCTTCACCAAAAATGTAGGTTCCCCCTGCTCTGTGTTTGCCATAGCAAATGAAAAAATTTTGTGAAAATTGGTATAGAGAGACAGACCCCAGTGATCATTACTTCACCAAGATGTTTTAAGTCTAAGGAAAACAGGTTTAACTGATATTTTTTCTGATCCTGTTTGTGATGTTATACTATTAATATTACCTTCTTAATGTTTCATTTACAGTTACATGATGTTGATTGATGGCACAAATGAAGTTTTTATGATTGATAGAGACAATTCAGTCTTTCATGTTTCAAATCTGGAATTTCCATTTCGCAAAGACCACCGTATACATTTATCAAATACTCTCTTGGATGGGGTAAGTCATATTTTATCTATATAATATATATTATATATATATTTAAGTTAAACATTGGCATTTTTCTTGCATATAGATGTATACTTTTATTCATTAAGGAATTTGGGGATGGGTGTGGTGGTTCATGCCTGTAATACTGGGATTTTGGGAGGCCAAGGCAGGAAGATCACTTGAGGCCAGGAGTTCAAGACCAGCCTAGGCAACATAGACACACCTCGACCAAAAAAAAAGAAATTTAGAATTGAATCTAGTTTTTATTAGGACTTTAAATGCGATTTATTTTATTGATTGATTGATTTGATTGAGTCGGAGTCTCACTCTTGCCCAGACTGGAGTGCAGTGGGAGACTCAAGGCTACTGCAGTCTTGACCTACTGGGCTCAGGTGATTCTTTTGCCTCAGCCTTCAGGTGTGCACCACCATGTCTGGCTAAATTTTTGATTTATTGTAGAGATGAGGTCTTGTCATGTTGCCCAGATTAGTCTTAAACCTGTGGGCTCAGCCAGTTGCCTCTGCCTCCCAAAGTGTTGGGATTACAGGCGTGAGCCAGTGTACCCGGCTTGATATTTTATTTCTTTAGCCTGTACTTAACATTGAATTAAGATCCTTTTAAAGAGGGGTCTGCCAACTTAATCTCTGAACATATGTAGGGTTTTTAGATGTTTCTTTAGTGGAGAAAGTTGTTGAAGATATGAAAATGAAGTTAAATGAATTCCATATTGATCATTGTCACTCAGTATGAGAATAGGTGAACAAAATTAAATCTTAATTTGTTGTGTTCTTTGTGACTGAAAAAAGTGTATTTTTATTGTATTATTTAACTTGTCAGTTGAGATTTAATTATGTAATACTTTATATATCACATTATCCCTTGGCTCTAACTGTAAGGACTCATAGTCCTTGTTTAAAGAGAATCATACCTTTGAAAGCAACCAGTTACTTCTACATTTGAACCTTTAAAGCTGATAAGAATTTCCCATTCCATAAAACCTGTATTTAATAATTGTAAAGTTACTTGATTAAAAAATTTTAACTCTCTTCCATGTAATTAACTTTCCCCTCCCCAGTTCTAAAAATACTGGCTCGTTTAAATAAAAATTAAAATAATGCAGGAAAAAAAAGCTGGTAAAAATTATCTACACTCCTAATATTGGGTAACACTATTACTTGTTTGTTTTTGGAATCAGAGTTTCACTCTGTCACCCAGGCTGGAGTGCATTGGCATGATCACAGCTCACCTCAGTCTCGACCTCCTGGGCTTAGGTGATCCTTACGCCTCAGCCTCCCAAATTGCTGGGACTGTGGGTGCGTATCATCACGACAGGCTAATTTTTTTGATTTTTGTTTTAGAGACAATGTCTCACTATGTTGCTCAAGCTTCTCTCGAACTTCTGGCCTGAAGCAGATCCTCAAACCTAGGCCTCTAAAGTGCTGACATTACAGGCATGAGCCACCATGCCCCATTACAGTTTTGATGACCATCATTTCAGACATTTTTCAGTGCCAGAGTACTCAATCTTACATCTGTTCTTGAGGAATACAGCACACTCATGTTAATAATAGAAACTCAGAGCACAGATTCTTAAATAGTGTGTCACAATCTTTAGGGAGTTGGGGGACCCATATCAATCCCAGAAAGAGGTAGAATAGTCCTATGACTATGGTACCTCTGTTCTGGTTGAAAATGAGTATTCTGGTCAGAAATGTACACACAGCGATAGTTACATAGTTTTACGTGAAGAGAACCATGTGTTACATGTGTTTCATAACCTGTCTTTTTGTCCACTTAGCAATTTGTTTTGGATTTTTTTTTTTACATAAATTTCTGAATGGCATACCACTGTATATATAAGCACCATAATTTGGGGTTTCTAGACTATATTAATTGTAAAAATTATTGGGTTAAAAAAATACTTGTTAAATATATGACTCCTTCCAATTTCCTATCCTAGACCTCATGGACTGGAATCTCTCAGAGGCCTAAGTGTCTGTAGAAGTGACCAAGTTATTCTAATTAGACAGGTTTGAGAAATAGTTTTGTAGTTTATTTGACTGGTCCTCTTTTGATGAACTTTTTGGTGGTTCTTTTTTCTGTTTCTAGTAAATGTTCATTTCTATGACAGTGTGTATAGTAATCAATTTCTTTTTTTTTTTTTTGAGTTGTAATCTCACTCTGTCGTCCAGGCTGGAGTGCAGTGGTACACTCAACAGCCGCCCCAGCATCAACTTGCTGGGCTCTGGTGATCCTTCCGCCTCAACCTTCCAAGGAGCTGGGGCTACAGGCGTGCTACCACACCCGGCTACTTTTTATTTTTTATGTTTTATTTTTATTTTATTGTAGAGACAAGGTCTCACCAAGTTGCCTGGGCTGGTCTTGAACGTACAGGCTCAGGCAATCTACTCACCTCAGCCTCCCAAAGTGCTGGGATTACAGGCTGAGCCACCAAGCCCGGCCAATCATTTCCTAATAAAAATGATACTAGATATTTGGGCATGTGTGTGCATTTCTACATAACTATATAGAGATCTCTATCACATCATAGTTGATGTAACTGGCACCCCTGGAATTGTGCAGCATATAAATGTCATAGACATTTGTAGCAGCTAAAGTTGTTGGCTCATGGGAACAGCAGGAACATTTTAGTTTTTGTTACCTTTTATTTAAGGTACAATTTTTAAAGTATTATAATTAATAAAATATAAAAAAGAAAAATACTTAAATAACAGCATCAGTCAAAGTTTAGTATAGTTTATCATTGAAGTCATATTTGTTGCGTGCCCATCTTGTTCAAGTTGCTGTGCCAAGAGTACAAGCAAGCTTAGAGGGTAGAGGAGAAGGCCCCACCCTCGTGACATTCGACTTATTTGAGTAGGGGCAGAATGATTGATAGTGATGGAAGAGACCGTCAGATAAAACAATAACCCAGAGAGAGGTTTTTAAAGCCAGTCCATTGGCAGTTTAGAGGAGAAATAATCACATCTAGTTAGTCAAGAACTAAAGATGTTTTATGTAGGAGTTGGCATTAGAAATGGAAAGATTTCTATAGACAGAGATTTTTGATGGACGTGGGCTGAGGGCATTCCAGGTAGGAAATAATGCTTAAAAATTAGATGTTTAACCATCTGCAGATTTAACTTAGCAATACTATTTATTTTCACCCCAAATTTGGATAACTGAGAGTAGCATAATAGATTCTTGTAGGATTTTAAAATAGCAATATGATTCATGATGTCAATTTGCTTGGGCTTGAATTATAGTTGCCATAGCTGTTTTTTCAGTTAGTTAATTAAAACAGTCCTCTGTAGTTTCCTGTTTCTTTTGCATTTTCATTTTAAAATTGTCTTTGTAAAATTCCAAATCCAAGAATAACTCAAACCACCTAATTGTCTGACTGTCAGATGTAATCATTGAAGCTTTTGTTTTGCTTTGCTAAATTATGTTCCTTGACCTATAAAATGTGGAAAATAGGAGTTTAGAAATATGGCATTTATTCACTTGAAACAAATACGTGAAATTTAATCAATTTAATATTAAGGCGAAGAGAAGGATATAACAGTTAAGCATTAAAGTTAATAGCAAGAATCCTGGAAGTATTCCATGTCTTTTTTTTACTATTAAGTTTTTAATAAAAGAATATGCATGCTTGTTGTTGAGGTTTTAGAAAGTCTGTAAATTATAGAGAAAATTCAACAGTCAAGAAGAGATGACATTTTAACATTTTGCTGTCAAAAGGAAATATAGTTTTAGTTATTTTTTTGTACTTGTATTTCTATAGCATGTATAACCAACACGTATATAGCTGACATTTAAGATATATTGTGTATCTGGGGTTACATCATTTCCCTTCAATCTGAAGACCTGCTTTTAGGATTTTTTAAATTTAGTTTTTTAAAACAATGGCGATACAATCCACATGCCATGAAATTCACCATTTTAAGGTGTCAGTGGTTTTTGGTATATTCACAAGGTTGTACAACCATTACCACTATCTAATTCTGGAACATTTCATCACTGAGATGGACTATGATAATTAGAACCAAAAGGATCTTATATGAAAGATTTCAAGGCATGGGTTATGAAGATGAGCTTTGATGGCTCACAGGTTTTTCACAGAACAGTTAATGAGAGTCAAGAGGTTACTTCTCTCATTAAAACCCCTCAGTGGTTCTCTATTGCCAAGCTACTCCAAATAATATTCTTTGTATCTGGAGCAAGTCTGTATCTTCAGTTTCATCTTTGATTGTGATCCCTACACTATAAATACTGGACTTTGGTCCATTTACCCCATACCGTCTTTTCTTTTTTTTTTTTTTTTTTAAGGATATCTTGTTGTTCCAATAGTATGTATGTATGTATTTATTTTTGAGTGGAAGTGTCAGTCCATTGCCCAGGCTGGAGTGCAGTGGCACACTCATGGCCACCACAGCCTCGGCCCGCTGGGCTAAGTTTATCTTTCTGCCTCAGTGGCACCACAGTAGCCGGAACCAGAGAAACATGCCACCACGCCTGGCTAATTTATTTTTAAATTTGTTGTAGAGATGAGTTCTCGCCAAGTTGCCCAGGCTGGTCTTGAGCCCCTGGGCTCAGGCAATCTTCTCGCTTCAGCCTCCCAAAGCACTGGGATTACAGGCGCAAGCCGCTGTGCCTGGCATAGTTTAAATTCTTAATTGTAAGAAAAACATATAAAATTTACTATCTTAACCATTTTTTTAAAGAGTTGAAAACATAGTTTATTTAGAAAGCAAGTAGAAAGTATAGTTCAATGATGTTAAGTATATTCCCCTTATTGTGCAGTAGCTCTCCAGAACGTTTCATCTTGTACAACCGAAACTCCATGGTCATTGCACATGGTCATCGCCTCCCACCTCCATCCCTGGCAACCACCATGATACTTTCTCTTTATGAGTTTAACTACTTTAGATACCTTATGTAAGTGGAGTTGTATATTATATTTCTTTTTGTGACTGACTTGTTTAACTTAGCATAGTGTCCTCAAGGTTCATAGCATATGACAGGATTTCTTCTCTTTTCAGGTTAAATAATATTCCATTATAGGTATATATCCCCATTATGTATCTGTTGACGGACACTTGGGTTGCTTTCATCTCTAGGCTGTTGTGAATAATACAGCAATGAATATGGGTATACAGATATCTCTTTGACACCCTATTTTCAGTTCTATTGGCTGTATACCCAGAAGTGAGATTGCTGAATCATATGGTAGCTCTAATTTTAATTTTTTTAGAGGAAGGTACCATACTGCTCCATTGTTGTACCATTTTGCATTTCCACGAACAGTGCATAAAGATTGCACTTTTCTTAACTAAGTTTCAGTTTTACATATTTTATCTTAATCTGCTTTTCTGTAGTCCAGGACAGTAGTGGCAACTGTAGGGAAGGGGCCATTGTCATGGTGGAGTCATTTGGAAGATCCCAGTATTTTGGTATTACCAGCTCAGGTGTTAGGTCTTTGTTAGACTATGTAGGTTCTGTTCTCTCTTAAGACCTTTTGGTGAATGTCGTCTTCACCCACTTGGGAGCCATGTTTTATTCCACTACTGTTCACATTATTTTTCCAATTCAATGTGCATTCCTGGAGTCTTCATTTCAGAAAGAAAGTGTTCAGTTATTTTTATTTCTCCTCTGTCAGAAGAGGGAAAAAAGAAGACAAAGATAGCCACTGAGTTTGCCTCTATGTATATTTGATTGTAATAATGAAAGTGATGAGCAATTTGCCATTTTACAAGTAGGGCTTCTGGAGTTTAGTGGGCTTTTGGTTGACCAGCTGTGCCCTTTTGTTTTACCAGAATCTTGGTAGCGTCCTTGGCTGTAAATTTTTAAAGCTTAATCATTTGATTATTTCTTTGGTTTTGGTTGTTGATAATAAATTTTCTTTTTGGTTTTTTAAAAATGATGTTTAAAGGAAACATGTTCTTGCTCATTTTATGAGGTAATTTGAGAGGGCAATTCTGTGATGTCTGCTATATGAACTGAAAAGTCCACTTAATTTCCAACCACACATTTTAAAAATAATAATCAAAACCTGTTATTGGCACCACCTTGTTGGTGTGTAAAATGCTCAGATACAAGTAGTTATTAAAAATATTTTAATAAACAGTTTAAAATACCAAATATGACTTTTTATGTCAAGCATTGGCTTAAAGCTGATAACCGTAAGTAAATTCATAGTTTAGCAACATATATTTAGGAAAGATATTAATTGGTGATTTCCTACAACAGCAAAATGTATTGTTTCTAAATCAGTGTGTTCTTAGTGATTTTCGATGGTTGTGTGTGGATTCTGTCATGAAATTAGATAGCAAGAAAACCTGCTTAGTTTCCTACGGAGAATATGAGAAGAAAATATAATATTGGTCAAAACTTACTAATAATGAAAATTTTATAGAATGCTACATTATATGCCTGTGATCATCCTTGGGTGCCCTTCTCTCTTTCTGTGAGACTGCATAATTTATTTTTACTTCTTAATGACTGTGGTAGATTTGCACTGATCTGTTCATACTCTCGTGCCCTGTTCCTTTTGATCGAAGTCTAGTAAAGTGACGTGAAACCAAGAAAGATTACATGGGTCACATGGGAACAAAATCTATAATGAGAGTGCCATTTATAGTTATAGATTTTATGATTAAAGTAATTGGCATTTAACACAACTTAAAGCAATACTGTAAACAAAATTATTTTTAAAATGACCCTGATTTTTTGAATTTAAAGTTTATGGTACCTTTACCCTTAATTGTTGCCTAATAATTCAAACATAACATGAAATGTAACATAGTAATTCAAATATAAGAATTATACTGAGATGTTGTCATTTGGTTTTATTTCAATATAGAATAAATGCATGATGGGGATTTCTGAAGGGCTGACAATTTATTGATTTGATCTGGGTACAATTGTGTTCACTTTGAAGTTTTGTCAAGTTGTATATTTATGATTTATGTGCTTATATATGTGTGTGCTATATTTCAAATAAAGGAATTTCTTTTAAAGTAAGGGAACTTAACTTCTTTTCTCTTTCAAGGAAATGATTATTGACAGAGTAAATGGACAGGCTGTTCCTAGATATTTGATATATGACATAATTAAATTCAATGTAAGTACCTTTTATAATTTATAAAATAGTCACTGAAGTAATAGGTATATTTTTAATTAATAAATAAAATAAGACAGAATTTTGTAAAATTAAAATTTCTTGGTTGTAATCTCTCATGCTTGATTCTTAACAAAACAAAAAGCCCAGAAGTTTCATTTGTCACAACAGCAACACACAAAAGAGAAACTGATTATGAGGTGTTGAATGTAGAATACATAGCTGTATTAAGATTCAGAATATCATTATCCAGGTTACTGAGAGCCTGATTTTTTTCTGGAAAATTTCAGTGTACACATCTCATTTATTAATTGGCTTTCTATATTTCCAACATAGTTTCAAATTTAAGAACCTCCAGGCCAGAAAACATTAAGTTTTTATTTTGTTTTGTTGGTAGCTACTGTATTCCTCAAAAGTAATGCTTTCCAGAATTGGCTTAATCTTATCATAGATTTTGGAATGCATTCACTGGCCTCTAACTAGACATAAGGGGTTGGGTGACTTTGTTTCTTTGTGAATAGGGAAGTGCTATCTCTTTTGCTTCTTGGTACTGAGCTCTGCTTTAGTATGTGTCCAGCGTGGGCTCATTCCTTAGTCTGGGAACTCTGTCAGAGATAGCAGCCTTCTAATACTTAAAAAATATGTATGGCACATTTCAGCATACAAAAGAATACAGAGAGTAATATAAGGAATACTCATGTACTGGCCATGTTAAAGCTTAATACTTAATTGCTTCACTTTTTTTTAATAAGAAATAGTTATTTACAAATCCAATAGAAGTGACTGTGTTGCACCACTCTCATCTTGGTGTTTATTATTCTCATGAATATTTTAGATACTTTTACTACCTATGTGTGTGTCCATAAAATATTTGTGGTGTTCTTTTGTGAAGTTTTCATGTCATATAAGTGTCATTGTACTATACTGTGATACCTAGCATTTGCCTCCACATTATCTTGTTGAGATTTATCTGTGTTAATAAGCGTAGTTTAGTTCATTGACATTAATTACCTTGAGTAGTACATTGTAAAAACATACAGAGTGTATCCTTTTTCCTGTTGATGGGCATTTGGGCTTCCATTTTTTGCTATTATATTGCTACTATATTTAACAATTTTATGTTTTTCCTTGTGCACATGTGTGAAAGTGTCTCTAGTATACTTGTTCTTATTTTTGTGATGTAATTACCTGGGAGATGTTTTAAAAATTCCAATCTCTTATCGCCACATCTTGAAGATTCTGATTGAATCAGCAACTTCAGCCTTATTGACTGCACTGTAAAATTCCTCTCAGAAATAGTTGTATCAATTTGCCACCGTTGGTTTTAACAAATATTTAAATTTTTGCCAGCTTGATGTGTGTTAAATGATATCTCATCTGTTTTAATTTGCTTCTCCCTGATTACTAATGAAGTTTAGTTTGTTTTTACTTGTTTGGAATTTTTTGTTTGTGATCTAATTGCAGTTTTGTATAATCCTGATATACTCTTTGATTTTTTTTCTACTTGTCTCTTTTTTCCCCCCGATTACTCATGAAGTTGAACATTTTTTATAGGTTTATTTTTATTCATTTTCTATTTTTCTTTTGTGTTTTACTTGCAAGTTTATATACATTTCTAATTGCTTTATTTGGTTGTTTTACTTCTTTTTTGAGTAGGGGGTCTCACTCTTTTACCCAGGTTGAAGTGCGGTGGCATGATCTTGACTCACTACAGCCTTAACCTCCTGGGCTCATGGGATCCTTCTACCTCAGCCTCCCAAGTAGCTGGGACTATAAATGCATGCCACCATGCCTGTCCAATTTTAGACTTTTTGTAGAGTGGTCTCACTATGTTGCTCAGGCTGGTCTTAAGCAGTCTTAACTCCTGGGCTTAAGGAGTCCTTTCACCTTGCCCTTTCACAGTGCTGGGATTATAGGCATGAGCCACTGTGCCTGGCCCTGTTTTCTTCCTGATGTATAGGAATCAGTTGTCTTTTCTGTATTCTGGTTATTTCTCAGTTATATGTGTGGCAAACAATATATTTTCCAAATTAGTGTTTATTGATGTACAGAAGTTTTAAATTCTAATGAAATCAAACTTGCCAGACCATCTCAAAGATTGTATCTTGTTTAAGAAATTTATCAAATTTTTTCCTAAAAATGATTGTTTCACTTTTCCTGTTTAGGTCTATAATTGTTATTCAATGCATTTTTATTGTGTGCCTATTACCATGTTGCATGATTACTTTTTTTTTTTTTAACATTTCTGATATTAGGTTGCATTTATAATTGAAGGCATCATATATTTAATACTTTAATTTACTCTGGAGCCTTCATAGATGATTAATCACATTGTTTATTTTGTATCACCATATCCGGGCCACTATTAGAAAAAAATTTTTTGGAATAATAATTAAGAACTTTTCCATCCCTTAGTTTATTATTTTTTCTGGGAAGAATTTCATCTGTCATCTTTTATACATCAAATACTGTTCCAGGTATTGTGTATACACAGATGAATAAGACATAATTTCTTTCCTTTAAGGAATTTATATGTTAATGTACTGGCCTCCAAAGAAGGCCACTTCCAAAAAAGTTTGCTGGTATTTAGAAAGAACATAGAACTTCTGTTTATTTTTAAATCTATTTGTTTATTCTATTTTTGTCTGTTTTTGAATATATTATACAGTTTGACATGTATTTTAAAAAAATAATATACACATACCGTCCCTTTTTTAGGATGGGGTTTAGATTGGATATAAAATCAAAGCAAATTTGCAAATTACTCTTCTTCTGGATGAAATGCAAATATAAAGAAATAATTGTAATATTTCTTGGTAGTAGAGAGGTAGAAGTATTCCAACATTCCTGGGTATAGTTGTCATCTATATAAGTGTGGAATTGAAGGTAGAGAAAGTGACATAAATTAATTTTGAGGGATGGAATCATGGAGGTCAGGGGCATTGGATGGTTTGTTAGCATACTTGATATTTGGTGAGGTGTGGGTCGGAGGAGAAAATGAGAATGGGTTGTTGAGTAGAGGGCCAGATTACTTGAATAAGGCAATTTAACTTGGTTCTTGCTGGGTACAGTGGCTCATGTCTGTAACCCCACATTTTGGGAGGCCAAGACAAGAGGATTGTCTGAGCCCAAGACATCACGACCAGCCTTGGCAGCTAGGCAAGACCTTGTCTCAACAAGAGATAAAAATTTTTTGCCAGGTAACAGTGCCTGTAGTCTCAGTTACTAAGGAGGCTGAGACAGAAGGATTGTCTGACCCCCCCCCCCCCAGGTCAAGGCTGTGGTAACCAAGATTGTGTCACTGCACTGCAGTCTAGGTAACAGAGTGAGACTCCAACTCAAACAAACAAATCATAAAACCAAAAAAACACCAAAGACCAAAATTTAGTTATTTCCATAATGGTGCACTATTGAAGGATTTTAGTTATGGTAGTGATTATGAGTTTACTTGTATTATTTTGAAGGATAACTCCATTGGCATCATGGATAGTGTTTAGAAGTGAGGAGGAACTGAAAACAGACCAGGTGGTCAATAGTATTTCCTCTGGTGTGTTCTCAGCGATTCAACACCTATTTATTGAGAGCTTCTTTGCCTATAGGCATTGTGGATTTGAAGGTGAACTTGCTTTCAGTCTGTTTGTGTGATTTTGGCAAATTTATATATAAAGGTGAAAAGCATCTAGAAGGGAATTTAGGCCACTTACACTTATTTTTACAGTTGATGTTTTCTTTCTTAGAAGAAAAAAGAGGGCTTCCTTGTTCCACTTTAATTTTATAGAGGCCTGAATTCCTCTAGTAAGTCTCAGAAACAGGCTCGACACTTTAGGATATTTCAACCTTGTTTATGATGGTGAGTTGCATAGGAAAGATCACACATGGCCTGTATGGTTATTTACTAGTATTTCCTAAATAAACACCCTTTCCAGACAGTTATATTCCTTTATGTTAAGAGAGCATGTGCCACCTCACACCTGGCTCTTGCTTACTTTGTGTTACTGCTTATTCTTTGCTGAGTATCAAAGCTGTCATCCTTCCAAAGTTGAGAAAAAGACATCCCTCAGGCATTTTTAATATTGTTCACTCCTTAAGCAAGTGCTGCTATCCGTTTGTAAATGTTAGGTTGGAGAATATAGATTGAAGAAGGGAAGAAGACAGAAAAGATGAGGGGAAAAAGGGCACGTACAGAGGAAGAGTATACCAAAGGATGCCATTGAGGTGATGCTTACTAGTCTGAGTGATTACTGTCAACCAGGGGATATGTTCTAGCTATGTTCTTATATGCCATGTGGTAGGGCAACCCCTCCCCTCAACTCATACAGAAGTGTCCATGCACTTTTAATTTCACAGTTCAAGCCTTATATGCTTTAGGAACGCTAAAGAGAACATTTATTGGGGACAAGAAAACTATTTCTTTATGACTATAACTTTGAAGATATCGTATAAGCTTTTTCTGTGTTAGTTTTCATAGTTGAGAATGGATTTGTTTAATACATATCTGTAAAGTGTTAGCACTTTAAATAAATAACAAAATCGCTGTAGATAACCATGCTGCTTATTTTGATGCGTTATTTGCTTGTGCTTTCCTGAATTATATGGGTTTTACTTTTTATATAGGCATTTTGCTAATTTATGTAAATAATAAATTCTCTAATGAGTTATATCAATACTTTAATTCAGATGTTGAATCTTTGGATCAACTTAGAGTAGATTCATGCCACATTCCCATACTATTTTATGCAGTTATAATAACAAAATAAGTCTGTGTGTATGTGTTTAGTTACTTCTATCATTAGTTAAAGTAATTATCAGTATTAGGGCTGGCGTGTGTGGTTGTGCAGGCCGTGTACTGGACAACCCCCAAAATGCTACTCACATAGACTGCTACAGACCTTGTAACCACCTGGATAATTATGTTGGTAAAATAGTTGTTGGTGTTGACATTTAAATAATTATTTCTCTAATTAGGCACAGCCAGTTGGAGATTGTGATTTTAATGTTCGTCTGCAGTGTATAGAACGAGAAATTATAAATCCTCGCCGTGAAAAATTGAAGACTGGGCTTATTGACAAGACACAGGAACCATTTGGTGTCAGACATAAGCCATTTTTTGATATCAGCACTGCTAGAAAGGTAAGGTTTACTTTCTTGTTTTCTAATCAGTGCTTGTCATGTGTCATCGCTCACCTTGTGAGATGGATATGAGTAACATTTTGCATCCCAGTTGTCTTGACTTTACCAGAAACTTCTTGATTTGAATATAGCAATATTTTGGTTAAACACATATGATTCCTATGCTTTTTCTCTTTAGTAAGATTCTCAGTGGTGGAAATTTGAACTAGATTGTTTCCCCATTTCTCATAATAGTCTTTGATTCATAGCCATTGGTCATAGTATTTTTTTATTTTTTATTTTTTTTTTGAGTCGGAATCTCACTCTGTTGCCCAGGTTGGAGGGAGGTGGCACGCTTCTGGCCACTGCAGCCTGAACCTGCTGGGCTCTGGAGATCCTTCTGCTTCAGCTTTCCAAGTAGCTGAAACTGTATGCGTGCATCATGCCCGACTAATTTTTTGATTTATGGTAGAGACAAAGTCTTAGCAAGTTGCCCAGGCTGGTCTTGAACCCCTGGGCTCAGGCAGTCATCTTGTCTCAGCCTCCTAAAGTGCTGGAATTACAGACTGAGCCACCATGCCCTACCCATAGTATGTTTTTTAAAAAAGCTAGAAACTAGACCAGGTGCGATAGCTCACACCTGTAATCCCAGGACTTTGGGAGGCTGAGATAGGAGACGTGCACCTATAGTCTAGGTGACAGAGTGAGACTTTGACTCAACAACAATAACAAAAAAAGCTAAAAGCAATATAAAATTGTATAGAGTGAAAATCACTTTTTCCTCCTGCTTCTACTCCTGAAAGTAGACTGCTCGGTATATATTCTTATTAAAAATATTCATGTGTATATTTTTCACTTAATGAAGTGACTTGGAGATATTTCCATATCAATGCATAGCAATTTGCCCTGTGATTTTTTTTTTTTTTTTTTTAAGTGCTGCATGGTCTTGTTACTAAAGATGCACCATACATTATTGTATTTTATTATTGATGGATTTTTTTAGATTGCTTCTAGTCTTTTGCTATTACCAACATTGTTTCAGTGAACATTTTTACTTCAGGGCAGGTAGAAGTAGAACTTTTGTTTTAGAGATTGTAATTTATGACTATAAACTCCTGCCAAATTCCCTTTGAAATAAAGTAGTTCCATTTCCAGCAGATGAGAGAGCTCATTTCCTCATCCACTACTAATCTTTTCCTTCCTGACCTGTAGTCAAGGCAGCATATTGAAACATGAAGGGGAGCATGAGTTCTAGAACAGAGGACTGGGTTTGCTCCTTGCTCTGTCCCTTACTGGCTTGGATCTTTTCCAAGACCATTGAAGCTTTTTCCCCAGTGTTTAATCATTTGTAATTTGGAGTTATAAGTTATGAATTGTGACATGAGTTCAATAAAACATTGCATATAAAGCCCTTAGAAAAATATCTGACATGTAGGAGGCATCCAGTCAATGCCAATTAATGTTTTTATTTTGTGCAATTGTAAATACTTTCTTGAGGTCTGTTACTGTACTTTTTTTAACATAGTATTTTTCATAGGTGAAAAATTCAATTTTATGTAGTCAAATTTAGCAATATATGTTTTCCATCTTCTGGTTCTTCTGCTTTGCTTAGGAAGCACTTCATCTCCAAAATGTTTTTATAAATTATTTTCTAATATTGTTTCGATTTCATTTGTAGGTCATTTGAGTGCTCTGTTACTCTTTCATTCTGTTTCCATGGTCTATTTAGCATCTAGCGGTTTCTTCTACCGCTCTCTCTTCTTCATGTCCTGAGTTTTCACATGAACACACTAATTCTGTTTGTGCCCCATCTCCCCGTTTTCCTGTTCATTGGCTTCTTTTTTCCTATTCTTACTCCTCTCATTTTTAGTATCACTAGTATTGGCACTGTTGCTGCTACTGCTACTGCACTGTTGGTTTCACCAGGATATTCACCATATCTATCATGAAAAGCAAACGTATCCTAGTGTTTTAGCTGTTGAGACATGATGTATAAACTGCACATTAACTCATTGGTTTCTGAATCTCTTTCTCATTAGTGCTTTGGTGGGGTTCTTTGTATATAAATTACATACAGTGTGTTCTCTGTCCTTGTTATGTGTTAGGATATTGATTCATCACCTCTTGTTTCTCTTCTGTCTTTCCCTTTTCCTTTCCATCTCTTTTTATTATTTCTTAGCAGTTTGAATATCAGTATGGCATTCTTGCCTTTGGTTGTGCTTAACTTTCTTAAAACCTAATTAGTGGTTCTAGTTAGTAGAGATATATAAGTTGGTCATCATAGAAGAGCAGCTGTAGAATTAATATTTTTGGAGTGGGAGTAGTTATGAGCCAATTCTACGGAAAATATGGCAACATATACAATTATGTTTAAACTCAGCTTTCTCCTGCTCAAATACTCTTAATTTGGTAATAGCTTTTGGAGATATTAGCAGTAACCTTAGTACTGTTGAGTGTCTTTCTTTCTCATTTTAACAGATACAGAGCTGTCATTCTACATTTTTTCTTTTCTTTTTGAGTTGGAGTCTCACTCTGTTGCCCAGACTGGAGTGCAGTGGCCGTTCCCGGCCACTGCAGCCTTGACCTGCTGGGCTCTGGCGATCCCTCCGCCTCAGCCTTCCGAGTAGCCGGAATTACAGGCATGCGCTACCACGCCCAGCTGATTTTTTGATTTATTGTAGAGATGAGGTCTCGCTGCCCAGGCGGGTCTTGAATCCGCGGGCTCAGGCAATCCATTCACCTCAGCCTCCCAAAGGCGCAGGATTACAGGCTGAGCCACCGAGCCCGGCTCATTCTACTTTTATTAGTACTTTTATAACACCTGCTTGGCATGGGACTGTTGGACTGCTGCTATGATCTTTTCACTGTTCACTGCTTGCCTTTTATGTCGGGTTTGGGCTGCAGGGCTGTATTAGAGGTATCTTCAAGAACCTGTGTACTACTGTGCCCTTTCCAATAGGTCAAGTGATGATAAAGTGAACACGTAGCACGGGCCATGTCCATGGTGGAAATCTACTAACTGGAACTACATACTCTATGGAAATATTTTCTAAATTGTAAATACAGTGTAAAAACTGGGTAAAAGCCAGATTGCTTCAGTTTGCGTTCATTTAAAAAAAATTAATTTGACAGCTTGTGCTATCATAATTCAGAGTTCTGCGCTTAAGAACATGTGTCGTAGGTAGCATAATTCCATTAGTCAAAATCAGTACTGCTTAGAAATATTTGCCAGCGGATGACATCAGAGCTATTGTTTAGGGGCTCTTGAGGTGGTTATGTGGAACCACTGTTTATGTAGTTTTTCACTAGAAAGACAAAATGCTCTTACATCTTTGTTGGCATATAGCTTTTGTAACTCCTTTTGAAAAATCACAGAATATTCTTTTTTAAAAAAGTCATTCTAAATTTTGGAATTTTAAATATAAGTCCCCTCCTCCTTTTTTCTTTTCTTACTATTGTTTTTTGTCTTTAATTTCTCTTACCAGAGTGGTTTTGGTCATAGCATATCAAAAGAAAATACATTTTGCAGCAGAATTGGTTTAAAATATAAGACTTAGTAGCACCAGTTATAGGATAGTAACTATAGTTGACAGGTTATTACTGTGATTCTGTGTTTGCTAATGGGAATGGTAAAATTGTGATATTGTGAACAAGACAGCATTTCTCAGGGAATTCTAGGTAATTTTTTTTAGCAATGCTAGTTTCCATGCGGTTGAGGCGTGTATACTATTTTTATAGAAAATAGTAGTGTTTATTTCTGTATATCTTTAAAATCTTGACTATAAATTTGATTTTAGGACTTTATTCATGTAGCTCTATTAACAACCTCTTTATTTTGCCTGATTTGATCCATCAGATACAGCGAAAGGATAATGAGCTGTTTAGTTTTTAACTTTATTGTACATATAGCCTCCAATAGTAATAAGAAGTAGCGATTTTTCAAATTATAACTCTATTTTCATTTTCTGTTTGAAGGCCAGTTTAAAAAGAATTATTTGAATAGATTAAATATGGCTAGCAAAAGTTTAAGAGCATGCAGCAAAAGTTTCCCTGGATGTTCTCCATCTATCACCGTCTCAGAAAAGTAACTTTTAGCTTTTAGCTTTTAGCATCCATCTAGAATTTCTTTATGCATATATAAACTAATACATTTATTTGTATTCTTACCACCTCCACCAAGACACGACTTTTTAAATATTCTGTTCTGTATCTTGCTTTTTTTCCTTTTTTTAAACTAAACAATAAATCTTGATTTCTTCTACCCCAGTATTGGTACACAGAGATCATCCTCATTCCTTTTTTAAATTTTATTTTACTTTTTGAGTTGGAGTCTCACTCTGCTGCCCAGACTGGAGTGCAGTGGCATGCTTCTGGCCACCGCAGCCTCGACCTGCTGGACTCCGGCGATCCTTCCGCCTCAGCCTTCCAAGTAGCTGGAACTATAGGCACACGCTACCACGCCCAGCTAATTTTTGATTTATTGCAGAGATGAGGTCTTGCCAAGTTGCCTGGGTCGTTCTTGAACCTGCAGGTTCAGGCAGTCCACTCGCCTTGCCCTCCCAAAGGGCTGGGATTATAGGCTTTTTTTTTTCTTTGTATTAATTGTACAGCTTTTCATTTATCAGTGTATCATTGACTATCTCATAGGCATTTGGGTTGTTCTTAGTTTGTTGATATGGAATTTTTTTGGCATATGCATATTCAACTGTTTCTGCACTATTTACTGAGGAGACTATCCTTTTTTTCATTGAATTGCTTTTGTACCTTTATACAAAATAAGTTGTGTATGTCTGGGACTGTTTCTAGACTCTCCAGTTCCCTTCATCTATTTGTCTATCTTTACTCAAGTGCCACTATCTTGGTTGATCTTGTTTATAATAACTCTTGAAATCAAGTAGTATAATCTTCCAGCTTTGTTTTTCAGAGTTGTTTTGGTTATTCTAGGCCCCACTGCAGCCTCATCCTCCTAGACTCAGGTGATCCTTCTGCCTTAGCCTTCTGAGTAGCTGAGATTATCAGTG